CATTTACACAGGGGTTTCCAGCCCTAGATCCCAGAGCCTGGCTGGCTTGGTGATTCCATGGCCAGCTGCCATGCGACCTATGGGTGGGGGGGGAGGGGGAGGGAGACGGGGAGGGAGGAATGACTTCGCCTCATCTGCCTAGAGCTGGGCCTGGGCAGTAGTTAGGGTTACTGTATGTCCGTATTTTCCTGGACACGTCGGGCTTTTTAGTTGTTAATCGCCATCGGGGAGGATTTTTTAAATATATAAAAACGTCCGGAAAATACGGAGGTATGATAACCCTACCCACTACCCCTCTCTCCTCTTGGGGTGTTAGCTCGCTGCAGCCTGCGGATTGCAACCCCCACCCCACCCCCCTGTGCTGCTGCAACCCCGCACCCCACCGCTAGGAGCGGTGGCGTCTCTGTAGGCAGCTGCGGGGGACCCGTGGCCGCTTCTCCGTCCTCTGAGTATCCCCCGCGACTCTGGCAGAGCCTCAGTCTCCCCCCTCCGCCCCAGCCGTGCAAGGAGCTCCCCCCCTGCCAGCGGTCCGTGCAGCTGGGGCTGCCTCCCCCCCCCCGGGGGCCCTGCCCGGGGGGGGGCCTGGCACAGGGGAAAGTTTCTCGGCATGCGGCAGCTCCCGGGAGCCTGAGTTCCCCCACCCGGGAAGGGTCCGCGCTGCAGCACCTCCCGCAGCCGCCCGGCCTGAGCTGCCGCAGCCTCGCTGGGTCCGGCTGGGAGCGGGGTGGAGGCTCCCATGAGCCTGAGGGCAAGGCCCAGGCTACGCACGCAGCACTTCTCTGCTCCAGCCTGACCAGAGAGGGAGCCGCGGCTGGAATGCAGCCTCGCAGGTGGGAGCACGCTGGGGTTGGGATGCCCAGCTTGGGGGCAGGCCCGGGGCCTGAAGCAACTTCCCGCCCCCCCCGGCTCCGGCTGCTACTGCGCCTGGCCTGGGGTGCACGGGCTGGAGAGCGTCGGGAGCCGGGAAAGTTGGAGCCCGGGGAGGAAGTGGCTGTTTTGGGTGGCTGGGAGGAGGGGGAAATGTGGCGAGCTCAGGGGAGGAGGCGGGGCTGGGATTTGGGGAAGGGGGGACACTTTGGGGAAGGGTTTGGAATGGGGGCAGGGAAGGGGTGGAGTTGGGGGGGCCGTGGAGTGTCCTCCTTTTTCAATGTACAAATATGGTAACCCTACATTTGCTGTCTGGTCACCCTACCTGCAGCAGCACTGGCCTGCGTCAAGTACTGGCTGGTGGAGGGTGCTGGGCCCAGTGGCCGCCACTCCACCCTGAGGTGAGCCCAGGCCAGGTCCCACTGCACACTGGGAGATGTAGAAGGGCTGCTGACCCCAGCAGAACCCTGGCCATTAACCGAGTGGAACCAGGCTGGTCTCAGGACTCCAGCAGCAGATGCAGGCCGGAGGCTCCAGCGCAGGATGGGCTCCAGTGCCCCAGCAACATGCAGGCTGCAGTCTCCTAGTGCCAGCCCTGGGCCTGCAGGCTCCATCTGTCCCAGTCCGGGAGCAGGCGGCTGGGCTCGCTCCGGGGGCGGGGAGTTGCGGTGCCGCCGACTCTTCTCATCCGGGAAGGAGAAGACGCTGTGTGATGGCACAGACCCAGCCCTCGGGGAGAATGGGGCCCGGCCGGCCACCAAGCGGCAGCAGTGCTGCTGTCATGATGGGCCCTTGCCCCCAGGCCAGAGAGCTCAGGGCCAGGAAGGACCAGCAGGATGAGTGTGAACTCAGACTAGAGTCCAGTCAGTGGCTGAGTGGAGAAAACACACCCCGTCCCTCCATCCAGTCTGGAGTGAGACCCCCGCGGCCCAGGAGAGCTGCCCTCCGGGCAATCGCCCTGCCTCTTCCCAGGCCAAGGCAGGGACGATTCAGGCCTGTTTAGTGAGAGCTGGGTAAGGACGAGCCACGTGGCCAGGAGCCCCCCTCCTCCCGAGCACACCAGGGTAATCTAGGGCATTGGTTCTTAAACTGGTGGTTGCAACCCCTCAGGGAGTCACAACCCGGTTATGTGGGGGGTTGCAAGCTCCAACCCCGAGCCCTGGGCCGGGCTGCCAGCCCCAACCTCCTCCAGCCCAGCTCCACCCCCAACTCCACTCCACCTCCAGCGCTGCTCCACCTCCAAAGAAAGGGTGCCAAATAGAAGTTTGCCCAGGGCGCCCTTTTTCCTATGGCTGGCCCTGGTACTGAGACAACATTAGAAGGCTTGATTTGCAGCTGAACAAGTACTGTATTAATTAACAGTCAGAGACACAAGTGCAAACTTTTTCCTGAAAATAATGGCCACTTGTACTCCTAAAACCGCTAAAAAACGAAAGGATTTCGAGTCTTACATTAAACTTGGCTTTACCAGGATCATCACCTCTGGTATTGAAAAATCGCAATGTGTCATTTGCTGTGAAGTTTTGTCTGCTGAATCAATGCAACCATGCAAACTGCAGTGACATCTTGAAACTAAACATCCTGGGCATAAAAATTGAAACATGGATTTTTTCCAAACACAGAGAAGAAGCAACAAAGGTCAATTCATTTTAAGCAATAGGGTTTAAAATTAGTATTTAACAGTTTTAAATATCAAAAATGTGCTTTTAATTTCTAAGGGGGGGGTCGCACGCAGAGGCTTGGTGTTCGAAAGGGGTCACCAATACAAAAAGTTTGAGAACCACTGATCTAGGGCAACATCTGGGTCCAGACAAGCCCCATGTTGCAGTGGGTGGTGCTGGTTCCCCCCTCAAGAGGGGAAGGTCCATTTCCCACCCTCTCCCACATGACTCTTAGCCCTACCCCCAGGATCTGGCCTCTCTGGGCTCCGGAGTTGGGCAATGCCAGCCTGTGATGAACTGGGACTGTTCTTAATGTGGTCTTTGAATGCTGAGTGGGGAGTGTTGCCTGGGAAGGCAGGGAGTGTGGCTAGGATAGTCTGCATGGGGGGGGGGATGGGAGACTGGCCGAGGGAAGATACCTGAGCATGTAACATGAGAACCCAGGAAGGGGTTAGAGGCCAGGTGACACCTTTGCCCGGGAAACTGAACAAAGGGTGGGGGGAAAGTTTCAGAGCTAGCTGGTGGAATGGCTGGGAGGCAGACGGGGCTCTGACCTCCCAAGGGGGCTGGGGTGCCCTGGCACCCCAAGATGGACCTAACTGAGGGGGTCCTGTTGTCTGTACCTGAAAGACCTGTCTTGGACTGTGTCCCTGTTGTCTAAATAAACCTTCTGCTTTACTGGCTGGCTGAGAGTCATGGTGAATCGCAGGAAGCCGGGGGTGCCGGGCCCTGTGTCCCCCCACACTCCGTGACACAGCCTGAGAGCAAGGAGCCCAGGAGCTGGCATGGAGAGTGTGAACAGGAACCCTCCCACCCCCCCCGAGGAGTGGGGGAGTGTGGAGAGCACCCCGTGGGGAGCCTGCAATATTTGTGCAGGGAAGGGGGGCATGGTCCCAGGGGCTGGTGAATCCAGGCCCACCCTTGCTCCCTGGAGCATGGGCAGCAGCATCGGGGACCAGCGCTCCCTACAGCTGCTAGAACAGTGACACAGATGGAGCCCCACCTCAGCCAGCTCCCCCATGTGGAGAGGGCCCCAGGAGAAGCAGCTGGGCCCAGCACACCCCCTCCCCACGGAGCAGAGACCAGAGCTTACAGTCTCAAATACCTCAGTGTGGGTCCACTCAGCCAATGCTAACAGCTCCTCCTCTCCCCGCGCGGGGTCCAGCCCTTCCTCCTCGTACTCCGTCAGGTACTCAGATTCCTCACCTGGGATGGGAGCACACATGGAGCTGGCAGTTGCTCCTGGCCTGGCCTGGCCCGGCCCTGGTGCCCCTCAATCCCGACCTGCAGCCCCCACTTCTATCCCAGCCCTAGCCCCCATCCCCCAGCCTTGCTGGGGCCCCAGAATCCTACTGGAGTGACATGGGCAGAGAGCCCTGTGTCGCACCCCCTGCCCCCACTCACCATCAGCGTAGCCTTCGGACAGGTAGCTCTTGGCTGGCTTGATGCAAGACACGATCTCAGCCAGATCAGTGAACCCCACGCTGGGGCAAGTCAGCACCTGGGGGGGGGGGTGAGAGCCAGGCTAGAGATGCCCCTGCCAGGTAGCCCTGGGGGGCTGGGATACAGGGAGGAAGTGCTATGTGGGCTGAGCTAGAGAGTGGGTGGTTCAGGAGGACTCCAGTGGGTGAGGACAAGGAGTGGGGGGCATTGTGGCAAAGGGTGTGGGTCAGGCTCTCACCCCATGGCTCTGAGTCCAGCCCGAGGGGATCCCCCACTTCGCCAAGGGGCTCGGCCTAAGGACAAAGGGACCAGAGCCACACGGTGGCCCCTGCTGGAACTGGGGTCTGCACTGATGAGGGAGGGCACTTCCTTGCCAAGCCCCCCCACTCCCCTTGGAGCCCCCAGCCCTACTACTTGGGGCGCCAGGGCTGAGCTGGTTGTTCCCCTGCCCCAGACACTGGCGCTGTGCCATGGGGCTGCCACAGCCAGGACCCTGTAGGAACATCAGCTTGGCACAAAAGGGAGCTAAGTGGCTGGAGTGTGACGAGGCACAAACTGTAGCTACCCATCCCCTGCTGGCCCATGCCCCACTGTTGCCCCTTCACTCACATCCATGCGCTTGCTCTCGTAGAAGTCGGCCGAGCACCGGTCCTTCACCGTCTTCTCAATGATGTCGCCGCGGCTCCAGCCGCTGGACATCACCTTGCCATGCTGGTAGCCCACGTCCTGCATGAGATGGATGGGCAGGATGAGGGGCCCACTCCTTCCAGCCAGCTGCGGGGGGACTGGCCAGGCAGCACCCGCTGCAGAGCAAGACATGGGTTTGCCCTGGGTGCTCCAATGCAGCTGGGGGGCTGCTCCCCACAAGGGTGGCCATCAGATTTCCAACCCATCCCCTCAAGCAGGGCCTCTTCCTCCCCAACCTGGGCACAGCCAGTGGCCCAGATCAGGGCCTCCCACCCTCCCCACCCCCGGCCAAGCGCAGCCCCCAGTCTCCCACACCCTGCTGAGCACTGACCCCCCCCGCCCCCCCAAGATCAGGGCCTCCCACCCACCCACGTCTGAGCAAAGACCCTCCCTCAGCCCCCCCAGATTGGGGCCTCCCACCCTCCCCACCCTTGCCCGAGCACAGACTCCTCTCCCCCTCCAGATCACGGCCTCTCACCCCCAGCCCAGTGCAGCCCAGGGCCCAGATCAGGGCCTCCCACCTCCCCGTCCCCAGCCGAGCACAGACACTTCCCCCACCCCCTAATCAGGGCCTCCCACATTCCCCACCCCTGTGGCCCAGGCCATCTGGACTCACGTAGATCTCGTCGAACTTGCCAAAGTCCATGGTTTTGAAGCGGTCGATGGGCAGGCAAATGTATTCACAGTAGGAGCTCGACTTTACCACCTCCAGCTGGCGCACACACGACACATATGGCGGCGATCCAGTCGCGTCTGGCCTGTCGGGCACCTGTATGTGTGTGGGGATGTGACGTTATTGACATAAACTGGGACCATATAGATCATTGTTGCAACCAAGGTCCTGTAGTGGCACCCAAATCTTGTATAAGGGGGTCAAATGGGGTGTCTAAGACAAGGTTATGGTTTACTGGTTATGATTAGGCTGTCTATATGTGTGTATCAGTTTTGTAGTTGAAGTTATGAATATTGGCTCTATACTGTCTGTATGACAAACTTATGCTATGCTTCTGGGTGACATCCCAGACAAGCTGGGATTAGCTCTGCCTAGCCTGCTTGATGGCCCATTAAGGACCATCAGCTATACAATGGACTCATTGAGAGAAGGCCAATATGCCTTCAGACTCAGCAAAGTATGCAGGGACTGGCCCATGTGACTCCAGGCTCCATTTTGCTGTAATTTTCCACAGTGAGAACAAAGAGGTGTTCTTACACCTGGAAAAGACTATATAAGGCTGATGCCTCATCTCCATTTTGTCTTCAATCCTGCTTCATACCTCTGGAGGAACTTTGCTACAAGCTGAAGCTTTGAACAAAGGACTGAGGACCCATCCCAGCGGGGGATGTATTCCAGAGACTTGATTTAAACCTGCAGTTTATTCTATCGCTGCTGCAATCCTGAACCAAGAACTTTGCCATTACTGTATGTAATTGATTCCATTCAACCAATTCTAACTCTCATCTCTATCTTTTTCCGTTTATGAATAAACCTTTAGATTTTAGATTCTAAAGGATTGGCAACAGCGTGATTTGTGGGTAAGATCTGATTTGTATATTGACCTGGGTCTGGGGCTTGGTCCTTTGGGATCAGGAGAACCTTTCTTTTACTGGGGTCTTGGTTTTCATAACCATTTGTCTCCATAACGAGTGGCACTGGTGGTAATACTGGGAAACTGGAGTGTCTTAGGAGATTGCTTGTGAGACTTGCGGTTAGCCAGTGGGGTGAGACCGAAGTCCTCCTAGTCTGGCTGGTTTGGTTTGCCTTAGAGGTGGAAAAAACCCCAGCCTTGGGCTGTAACTGCCCTGTTTGAGCAATTTGTCCTGAGTTGGCACTCTCAGTTGGGTTCCGCCAGAACCGCATCGTCACAGGGGAAAAACAGGAGTGTCCTGCAAGGGGGTGGATCAGCCCCACCCGGGATAGCATCCTGGGGCAGGGGGCTGCAAGGGACAGTCCCTTCTACGTTCTGCAGGTCTGACCCCCCCCCCAGCTGGCTCAGTCCAGCTGAGTGGCCAGAGCCGGATCCCAGCAACTGCCACTGGGGCATCAGGAGTGACTGTGCCCAGCCAGCCTGAGGGAAGCCACTGGCTGCCAAGGCAGGCCCACATGCTCAGGCAGGAGCAGCCCTGGGAGGCAGGGACTGTGGCAGAAGGGACCCTGCCAGCACCTAGGGCTATCGCTGCCCTTGGGGTAGAGGGCAGAGGAAGGGCAGGGGAGAGGGATGGTGAAGAGCCCCAGCCCTGGGTGGGTGGGGCCCGCCTGCCTCCCCTCACATGCCCCCTGGCCTGCAGCATGGAACGGGTGCAGCAGCAAGCTTTTTACAAAATGGAGTAAGCCTTTTAAAATGGGGCTTGAATGACAATCTGGCAAACAGTGAACAGAAGTTATAATGTAGGCAAGTGTAATGAATGGTGAACAGAAGTTACAATACTGAGATACTGAAAGAGTGCAAGTCTCAGTGACTTAAACAGGAATCGGATTGATATTGAAACTTACAAAGGCAGCTGGCTGAACAACTGTAGCTCTTAACAAGCAGCTTAATTGAGCTAAGCAGCAGCGGACTTAACCGGGGGAGCTCAACAAGCAGCTTAAAAATCAATTAGCCAGTTATTGGGGTAAGTGGTTTTATGAATGAATGTGGTTTCATTCATAAACTTGACTTATGAAGTTACATTGATAAAGTGAACAATTAAAAACAATTTCACTGATCAGTTCTACACAGGTGGCCGGGGTGACGTGCCCGGAGGCAGCAGGAGAGATGGGGCAGGGTTCCCCTTGGAGGGGGCTCTCGGGCACAGAAGCCCCCAGGGCAGGGCAGGGCTCACCTTAACCTTCTGGGCCCAGGGATTGAGGCGTTTCCACAGCAGCCACCAGCCTGAGAGGCTGTCCCCGTAGTTGCAGAGGTCAGTCTCGTCCTGGCTGCCCACGTCGATGGCGACCACTGATTTGGGGCCCAGGTTCCGGGCAATGTCCACTAGTGTCAGAGAGAGCGTGTCAGGGGCAGCGGCCTGGCAGAAAGTGGCACTGCCGGCTCCCCATGCTCCTGCCTGCTGCCATTAGGGCAGCTCCCCGCCCCAGGCCCCAACCCTCAAACACAGCTGGGGAGCAGGGCAGAACCCCAGCCACAAGCAGGAGGTGGGGAGCAAAGCCAGGTTTGCAGCAACCACTTTTCTCCCCTCCTCCCCATTTGCATGGGAGGCATGAGCAGCAGGAGAGCGGGCGGGGTAGGTGGGGGTGGCTCCTCTGCACCAGGAAGTCCAAGGACCCTGTAGTAGGGTTGAGCCGGGGCTCTACCCTCCGAGATGGAGGGGTGCCACACCGGCTCACTAAATTGCGGACAGCCTAACCTCAGGTCCCTTTACGCAAGGGCTGTGCGGCTCTCAGTTCAGGAGCTCAGGCCCTTAGGTAGGGGCTGAGTGCTAACTAACCGTCTAAGCAGGCCCAGGCCCTGGGTCAGGGCGGGGCACAAACAGTCACAGCTCAAGCCCTTTGGGGCAGGGGTTGAGCAAACAAGCAGTTAAGGGGCCCAGGTTCCTACCTGAGCGTTGGGTGAGGGGGAAGCCTGCCACCCGTGAGTGGGGGTGGCAGGGGGGGACGCAGGCCCACCCACTCCACTGCATCCCAGCCCGGGGCCCTAGCAGCGGTTACTATCGCTGCCGGTCAGTGGGGTATCCTGACCGAAACACACTGACATCGGCTCACAGGCCTCTGCAGCCTGACCGGGGTCGGCTACCCCCGGGCTACTTCCTTGTTCCCCCTCGGGGCTTACCTCGGCGGCGATGCCGGGTTCGGGCTAGTCCAGCAGCATCGGCTCCTCGGGTGCGGGGCTTGGGGGCTGGTCCGGCAGCTCTTCCCCAGGATAGCTGGCACGGGGCAGACTTGACTCCTCCTCGGGGCAGCTGGTCCGGGGCAAGCTGGGCCAGTCCTCCTCAGGATAGCTGGCACGGGGCAGGCTGGGCCAGTCCTCCTTGGGGTACCTGGCGAGAGGGAGGCTTGACCGGCGCGGGGCGTTAGCAGGCGGCTCGCGGCCTGCGGCTGTCTCCCAAGCGGCAGCTCGGCCCGGGACGTCTGCTCTCTTTGGCGGTCTGCCTCTCACTGAGGTCTGCTGGCGGGCTTTTATACTTCCGGGTCGGGGCCGTGACCTCAGAGGGGCAGGCCCCGGACCCGGTGGCTCTGCCCACGCTGGGATTGGAGGAAGCTCGGCCCTGTCGGAGATGGAGGGATGCCACACCGGCTCACTACAGACCCCTTCCCACTAGCACTGCCCAGCTGGCCAGGCGGGGAGCTTCCCAGTGCAGGCTCCAGCATGGCCAGATCTTCCCCATCCCCCCTCTGACTTTCTCAGTGTGAAGTGCAGGTCCAGCTCACCCAGCCTGCCCCTGCTGGCTCTGTTCTGCCTGGGAGCTCCCCCTCCATGGCACATTCAGAGGGCAGTAGGAACCAGCAAGTCGTCCCATGCAAGGACCCCTAGCCAGACAGGCTGCAGCAGGACTGTCCCATGCTGAACTCTGGACTCGGAGCTTCGACAGGGACAGCCTGTCGCAGTGCTGGGGAGGGCCCAGTGCAGCTCCAGGGGCAGAGCACAGCTGCTGGAGCAGTGTGTAAATGGCTGTCTGTCAAAGACCTGCTGAAGGCTTTACCCAAGTCTGTGACTGCCAATGGGTGCAGTCTCTTCTGTTAGACTGCATGGAAGGAGCAATGAAGCCCCTTTATGTAGTGTGGTAACTAAACAGAAGCCATTGCCCAAGGCCCTGGGTGGGCCACATGGCAAGACCAACCATACGCTGAACTGCGTGGGCTGAAGGCTTCCCTGTAAGTTTTTGTAATATTTTTTGGAAAGTGTGTGACTCAGTTTCCCTATTGTGTAATGCCACCCCCTGGGTATGAAGGGGTTAATCACTCCTCAGGGACGGGGAGATGAGGTGTGGTAAAATTCTTACCTTTCCAAAAGGCGAGTGCACCTCTTGTGCTTTCTCATTTACCTGCTGCTGAAAGGCTCCTGTTTACATAGGCTGGGGTTTGGGGATGCTGGAAATGGGCTGCTGAAGGGCAGTACAGTAATTGATGTCTTAGCAAAGATCCAAACATCGAAGTGCAGGCTACTAGGAGCCTATCTAGGATTGAGGAGATGAAGTGGAGTTTGGCATCAGGGCAATTCAATCCCATAGCTTTATGTTTTGGCCATGTGGGGTTAGTCAGTCCTGCTGTAAATAACCACATGGGCTCCTTCTGGAGGCACAGCATTCAGTGAGGATACAAGCCACCTGGAGAGTTGGGGTGACAATATTCTAAACTTTGAGAGTTCCATAGATACTACCTGATAAATGGACAGATCCCCAGGGTACAACCTTGAACTGTGGGACCACTGTGCCCCCTTAACTCTCCCACCTGGGCTGTCTCCCATGATGCGTTGCTAGTGTCAAGCAGCAAACTCTTCCAGGTGCTGTGATCACTCAGTCAACAACATGCAGGGACACACCCAGCTAAATTGCATGAATGCTCTAAGCCACTCATGAACCATACACAGGGAAACACCAGCAAATCCCCCCAGCTTTGCACCCCAGAAATGTACCCTCTTACACTGCTCACAACCGTCTCTTGAACAATGCAAGCTTATTAATTCGTTCACCACTTCGTCAAAGGTGAGCGGACATGCACCAGCGTTTGTAATCTGAGCAGATTCCCCAAGCGCTTTAGACAGACTCATTGGTAAGGATAAATCATTGTTTATTAACTACAGAAAGATAGATTTAAGTGATTATAAGTGTTAGAGACAGAGGTTAGAATTGGTTACATAAGAAAGAAGAGGTAAATCATAGACTAAGCAAAATTTAAATTAAACAGTTTCTCACCCCGCTAGATGTTCCAGGCAGTTTACAATTCTTATTACACAAGCTGCATTCCCTCCTCAGCCTGGGCCCAATCTTCCCAGTTCAAAGTCTTTTCTTCCAAACATTCTTGTTGCCTTCAGAGTAGATAGGGGAAGAGAGAGGTGGACTAATGAGGTCACGGTCCTTTATTTTATACTCAGTTATATGCCTGGAAAAATCCTGGCTCAAACATGGAGTCAAGCATCAGGTGTCTTGAGGTGCCTTGTTGAGTCAGAGTTAAGCAATCCCTATTGTGTGGATGTGACACTAACTCCCATACTCATTCATATATGGTTGTGATATTTCATACAAAGCATGCCATGTAAGGTACATGAAAGATCATGATCTGCTGAAACCCTTTTTTCTGTCCAAATATGTATATCATTACTGTGTATAAAGCTATGAGATTATGCTGTACGGTTGCTACTAAATAGGCTGTAAATTTGCTAGTGGCATGCAAAGGGTCCTTAAATTTTGAAAGTGTTCCCTACAGTATGCTTAGGTAATGGAGGATTGACACACTCTAGGTTTACACATATATTCTGTTTATAAATGTATTACATGAGCTCAGACAGAGGGAAAATTCTGCCCTCAGTTGAAATGAGGGAACCAATAGGGTTAGCTGTATGCAAGCATGGGCAGAATTTGACCCAAGGAGTCTGCATATACTGGGCCTGATTCTTCCACTCACAGTGGTTTTAAACCACTTAATTCCATTTCTCAATGGAGTTATTCCTGTTTCATCCCAGAGAACTGGGCCTATTTTTCCCCTGGAATTGTTTGACTTTGTAAAGCTGTTTGTAGAATCTTTTCACAGACTAAGCATTTGAGTGCCACAACTTGTAGGGCCGTCTTGTGAAACTATGCTGGACATCATAACATTCACTTGGAAGAAACTGACTTTTATAATGCCGTGAGATACTGAGATTAAAGCAGTTTCCCCTCTGATGACCAGAAGTGGTCTTATGGTTAAGGCAGTGGTCTGGGATTCCAGAGATCTGTGTTTATGGGCATACATGCAGGTACCTATTTTAAGGTCCCATCACACTGACAGAACGGCTCAAAGAGGATTTAATATAGTGAGAATCAGACCTGATGATCTAGTATGCTTACCTACACTGGGTGTTTGTACTCAGCTGACCACATCTACACCAGAAGGACAGCCCCTTTCAGCACTGCTTTGGCTTTACCAAACAAGGAACCTGCAGGAGCTATGATGCCAGGGACTCCTAATGGTGGCTGCACCTGAAACTGCCCTTAACAGTGCAGAAGAGCTTCCAGATTGTGACAGGAAACACCATACTGCAGACTCACTTGCCAAAAGGCGAAACTATCTGGCAGAGAACATCCTGCTTTCCTTTTGTACCTCCTCCCACCTGCAACACGGGGATCTCCCTGAAGGAGCTTGTCTGAGGTTTGGGGTAAAGCAGGAGCATGTCACACACACACACACACACACACACACACCTCTCCCCATCTACCATCCCACAGATAGAATCACCTCTGCTCATGGAAGCAGAGGAGAAAGCTTGGGTGACAAACTGTGGCTTTCTATATACTGGGTATGAGCTCTAATCCAACCATACTCCTTGTAGTTTGGCACATGGTTCTACAAGATAGGAAACATTCTACATTTAAAAAAAAAAAAAAAAAAATCATTCTTTGCATCTTTGCTGCTTTACATTGCCCCCTCACCAAGGCAACAATAGTCTGTGATATGGTGACTGCACAGTATGCTGGTTGGATCTAAGTGCCTTATGTAATAACACTATCATCTGTTTTGTTTTTCATTCTAGCCTCTGATAAGCACACCTGTTATCTTGTTTGCCTTTTTGTGCTGATGGTTTCAGTGACGCCCTGGCCTCTTTTACTACATCACATTCAAGGTCTTCATTGAATGTGATCTACAAGATGTTCTGGTGGAGACATGAGTCTGAGATCGAGGCTCTATTCTTGGCCTTACTTCTTGAGTGACTGTGGGCAAAGCAAATTAGGCCAAATTTTAAGAAGTGGCCTCTGTTTTAGACACAAAAAGGTCTGAGGTGAATTCAAAAGGGTTGAGCACTAACTTAACTGGAGTGGTAGGCGCTCAGACAGCTGGGGTCTGAAACTGAACACTGAAAAATCCAAGTCGGTTTTGAAAATTTTAGTACTGAGTCTTTAGTTTGTATATCTCAGGTTCCTCATCAGTAAAATAGGGATAATACAGTCTACCTGCTTTGCACATGCACTAAAGGTGAGGCTTAATTCATTAAAAATTGCATTGATATCTTCAGATCTCCCATACATACAAGAACAAAGTTTTAATATGATAAATACCCAATAACTTCTCCTGATCAGTTTTCTGGTTGATTGTTCAAAGTGGTGTTCTCTAGATTTGTTCCTTTCTCTCAAATAGTTTTACACAACAGACAGGAATTATCTTGCTGAAGAAATGCTATATTAACAACCAAAGTTACTGTGATCTTAAAGGTCCTAGTGCACTTCAAGAATGTACTGCACATCTAAACAAAGTCACCTTTCCAAATATATACAACCTTCAAATCCCAGCAGTCTGCAAAGAATTCTGGTCCAACTATTCATACATTCAGCATCCCTGAGCACTTGTGAACACCCAGGGACGACTATGTTTTTTGCCACCCCAAGCACAGCAGTCAGGCAGCCTTTGGCGGCACGCCTGCAGGTGGTCCGCTGGTCATGCGGATTCGGCGGCGTTTCTGTGGGTGATCTGCCGGTCCCCCGCGTTCGGCATGCTCGCCACTGAGTTGCCACCAAAGCTGCGGGACTGGCAGACCTCCTGCTTGCATGCCTCACAGCGACTGACAGGCCGCCCCCTGCGGCTTGCTGCCCCAGGTACGCGCTTGCTGCGCTGGTGCCCGGAGCCACCCCTGTGAACACCCCCCCCCCCCAAAACAAACAAACAAACAAACAAAAAAACTGCATTTGCCATCTGATCTCCTAATCCATGCACAAGCATTTGTATCTGATTGTACAATTTCTCACTATTTGTTCTGCCTACAATTTTAGTATCATCTGCAAGTTTGGAGATCTCTTTGCAGTACATCCACACATCATTTACAGACTACCTAATGCACTGTGCTTAGCCAGGAGTGTAACAGGTCCTGAACTAACTCCTAACTGCTCTCCAATTTGTAAGATACCCATGACTAATCTTTTCTATGGTTCTTTGCATTAACCATGATAGGCCAAATCCTTCTCCAATGACTTGATGGGCGAGGAGAGCTGGATTTGGCCCCATATTCAATGGGGAACCTCATCAAATGCTTTTAGAAAATCCAAGCAGTCGTTAAGTATCACTCATCTATTTTAGCAGTAATCTCCAGAGTACTCCAGCAGGCTGGTTAAGGAGGACCTCCCCTGTCTTAATGCATACTGCTACCCATTGCAAACAGGGCTGCTCCCACCACCTGCCTTTGGATGCTTTCCACTAGTTCCCGTACAACTGTTAAAACTACAGCTCTAGAGTTTTCTGGTTTGTCTGGATTTTATTTTCAGTAGTGGAGCTTGTTTGCCATTTCACTGCCCTTGGGATTTTAGTACATGAATTAACCATCTAGAAAATGTGTCAATTTGTTACATTGGTGTTGGTGCTTTCGTTTATTTTTACTATGTGATACCGGGTTCCATCTCTGCCAGGGGTGGTGAATATGCAGCTAGAGCTTTAGGTTCTAAACCAGGGGTTCTCGGGACAAATGTTTTGGTGGCCTCAGAGTGCGGACACCAACTGTGGCTGGTGGCCGCCCGCTCACTTTTTCCTAAAATACTTAATTAGCTTTAGGAAAACCAAATAAATATGCACATATACATCCAAATCATTGTAATTTATTTATTGCTAGCTAGTAAGTCTGTTGTGAAAAGTGATATTAACAAGCATACAAGTATCACTTTTTACAGCAGTCTTACTCAGCCCCAGTAAGTCTTGGGACAAATTAAGCCCTGGGGAAGGGCCAGGGGAGATGGGACTGGGGATGCAGCGAGGGTTGGAGCCTGAAGCTCCGTGGCTAGAGCCCAAAGTCCCAGAGCTGGAGGACAGGGCCAGAGGATGGAGCCCGAAGACAATGGGCTGGATTCTGGGGCCTGCTGCCACAAAGCCGGTGCCTGGGGCTGGAGCCCAAAGCCCCACAGCCAGAGCCTGCTGCCCTGCCACCCCCGAGCTAAAGCCCAAAGCCTGAGCCCCACCACCCCTGGGAAAGTGGGGAACTCATTGGCTGCCTGCTCCTACAGCGTTGTGCCCCTGGTGACTCCAGAGGGTGCAGGGCCCAACCCCTGATGGTGGCCCCAGCAGCCAACATCAAGGCAGTGCATCCAGGAGCAACGGGGGAGGGGCAGGAGGCCCTACTTTGCCCTCCCCACCCAGTGATGAGCTCCCAAAAATCCTAAGAACTGGTTCCCTACTGGGTCCTCGGCAGCACTTCGGTGGCTGGAGGAGGGGCTGGGGGAGCCTCCCCAGCTGGGAGCTCAGGCAGGATGGTCCCGGGGGCCGGATGTGGCCCACGGACTGGAGTTTACTCAC